GGATTAACAGTAGAACTTGGAAGGATTATCAGGGAAGATAAAATCAACACCTTGACCTAGAGTCCTATTCCTAATTTAGGACTAGGGTCATTTTCACCATCCTGCCTAGAACTTGCTCTTTTGTTGATCACAACACTTTCTGGAATGCCAAAATACTCACTAGCTGTGCAAAGGAAAACATACTTCAAGCTTACCTATGCCCTTGCTAATTTCTTATTACCAAATCACCCCAATTCTTTGGTGTTCTACTGTGGCTCAATTCTATATCCCATAAATTGCTGTTCGGTAATTTTAAAAACTTTACCACTTTCTTCAGTTTGGGTCATTCTTGGTCTGGTCTAACTTCTGCACCTTTATTTATCCCCAAAGGGTTGGGAGGCGTGTTGGAAATCTAAAGTGGAGTGTTTGGGTACCCCATATCTTATCCCATTGACAGTGATGCTAAATATCCAGTGCAAGGTACAAATGACTTACCCAACAGGCCAAAGATGTTGCCTGTTGAAAAATAGTGGCAGCAACTGAGTCCTCATTTTAATAATATTCTTTCCACAGGAAACATGATTGTTGCTCCTATCACCCTCTCTGACTGGCTCTACCATTTTGCTCAAGTCACTTAAGTTTTCTGGATCTCAGTTTCCACATCAGAAAATTGGGTTAAAGAATACCTTTTTAAATTACATTTTAAATTACAGTTGGCCTTTCATACCCACAGGTTCTACATCCATATTTTGGTTGAATCCTCAAATGTAGAACCTACAGACACGAAGGGATCACTGTATTTTATATTTTTGTTACTGTATTCACAACATATTTTAATGTCCTGTCCTATATACCTACCTTTATGGAAAACTCTTCATATTCTATAACTTTTTAAGGCATTAGCTGAATACTATAACTAGTTCCTTAACCCCTAAATACTAAAGAAGCATACTTTAAAATTCCCTTTCCCTTATCTAGTGAAGACCCCACAGACTAAACAATGAAAGAACTCAGGAGAAATTACATGAGAATAGTGCAGTTTCTCCTAAAAAGTGCTCAGAAAACTGAAATGCGGGTGGACATAACAGATGGAATAATGAAGAAGACTGAAATAGGTAATTTTAGCCTTGAATCCAAGAGGCATTGGCTGATCCAGAAAAATGGGGAAAAAATAAAATAAAATATCCAGGGGAAAATCAGGAAGAGACCTTTTACATTCTGAAATTAATAGCAGTGAACCAGGTAGGGAAGAACTAAGACAAATAGGCAAAAGGGGAGACACAAAGACGTTACAGCTGCCCGGGCAGGAAGGTCTTTATAGAGTAAATTAAGGACTGCACGCCATTTGCCAAGTTCAACACTTTGTATGATAAATGTTACCTATACAGCCCACTTTATGATTTTAACATACGTTTAGCACTTTAAATTTCTTCTTTATTTTACTTTCTTCACGGGAGCTCCAGTTTTAGCTGCACTGAAAAGTCAGACCAGGTGGAGAGAGGGTATATATGGAAGCGGAGATTGCCTCCTTTCATTTGTGAAAGAGCAGTTTAAGGACTGTTTAAGATGGAGATAATGGCTCATATGAATTGTGTGTAATGTTGCATTAACTTGTTGTAATTATCATCATTATTAAAATTACAGTCAAACACTCACCATGCTCTACAGGGCATATGAACCATATAAAAGACATCGTCTGTGCCCCCTAGGAACATACCCTAAAAGTTCAAAAGTGTTGAACTCACTGATACATGAAAAAGTTGGATTGTACTGTGCCAACATAGAACTATACAATTCAGGAACTGGAAGGTTCAGTTAAATCTCACTTTTAAAATTAAACCTTAACAGATATCATTTAGTTTTGAAGGTTAAAAAGAAAGTGAAGCAGGAAATATAAGAGAAATTCATCATGGGATATTAAGTAAAAATTATCCTTTATTCTTGACCCCTATTTTATGGCATCAAGAAATTAAAAAAAAAAAAAAAAAGCTGGCTTTCCTCATCCTGGACAGGGATGATCTGCCAGTACTTCCAATTCTGGTAAGCCCACAGCAATAAGGACTGGGGGAGATGAGTCCTATCTGGCTACATCTTCAACTTGTTTCTGAGTCTGCTTGTCCCTGCCTCTCCCACTGTTTCTTCTGCACTGGATGAACAGCTATGCATTTGTGAAACTCTGCATTGTAAGCAAGGCTGAGGCTTTCCATCCCAACGAGGTTGAAGTATGGAGTTAATGAGAAGTGAGACTGGGGAATAGATGGGAACATGCCAATGTTAAAGTAATTGAGCATGAATATCAAACACTGACTAGGGAATAGTCTTCATTTACTGAGGGAAAGACAGATCAGCTGGTGGGCAGATGGAATGTGCATAGACTTGCATTCACTGCCAACCCTAGAATTCCATATCATAGCTGCCTATACTTTGTAACCATGGTACCTCTTTTTTGCCACCTAGAATCATGTTTTCCTTCATTTTCTCTTTATTTTTTTCTTTATATTTCTTTCTTCTTTTTTCCTTCCTTCCATCCCTCCTTCCTAAGAAAAGCTTCCTCTCTTCTTTTTGTATTTGTCTCATCTCTCCCCAAGCCTCACAAAGAATTTAAAGTTTTTCGTTTCAAATATCTGTTCCTTTAAAAAGTATATGTACTTTGCTAAAGGCACTTGATATGCTGTGGCTAGAAGAATTACTAATGCTATAATTTTTATTTAAAAAATTCTGCATTGTCTTCCAAAACCAGTGAAGCCTTAAATTATTAATTAAATTAATACACTCCTACACGACTTATATCACTCCCAATTAGATCATTTATATGTTCTTAAATGACAAGAATCTGTCATTGATTCAATGATGAAAAAAATGAACACCTTAAAAAGATGTAGATCACTATTACTATTAATCTCAAGTTGTAGTAAAGTTTTATTCAGAACAGAGTAATAGTAATTTTAAGAAAACTAAATTCTAAAGAAACTTTGAGAAATCTCCATACCATATTCTATAGGAGTTAAATTAATTTGCAGTTCCACCACAAATGTACAAGCATTCCTTTCTCTCTATATCTGTACCAGCCATTTTTTGCTTCTAGAATTTTAAATAAAAGCCACTCTAACAGAGTAAGGTGATATTTCTTTTCTTTTCTTTCTTTTTTTTTTTTTTTTGAGAGCCTCAGGTTGTCACCCTGGGTAGAGTGCCATGGCATCACAGCTCACAGCAACCTCCACTCCTAGGCTTAAGTGATTCTCTTGCCTCAGCCTCCCAAGTAGCTGGGACTACAGGCGCCCACCACAACACCCAGCTGTTTTTCGGTTGTAGTTGTCATTGTTGTTTGGCAGGCCTGGGCTGGATTTGGACTCTACAGCTCTGGAGTATGTGGCTGGGGCCTTTGCTTCTTGAGCTACAGGTGCCAAGTCATAAGGTGATATTTCATTGTAGTTTTAATTTGCATTTTGTGATGATTACTGATGTGGATCTTTTTATTTTATATGTTTGTTGGCCATTTGCCTATCTTTTGAAAAACTTCTATTCATGTTTTTTACCCACTTTTTAATGTTTTTTTTTCCTTGCTAATTTGTTTGGGTTCTTTGTATATTCTAGTTATTAGCCCTTTATCAGATGTCTAGATTGTGAATATTTTCTCCCATTTTGTAGACTGTCTATTATTCTATTGATTATTTCCTTAGCTGTGCCGAAGCTTTTTAATTTAACCAAGTCCCACTTTAAAGTAGACCTACCATCCAAAAATCCCACTACTGAGTTTCTATCCAAAGAAAAAGAAGCCAATTTATCAAATAGGCACCTTACCCCAATGTATATTACAGCACAATTCACATTTTCAAAGAATCAACCCAAGTGCCCATTAATTCATGAATGAATTAACAAAATGTGGTGTATGTATACCATGGAGTACTACTCAGCCATAAAAAGGATGAATGAATGCCTTTTGCAACAATATGGAAGAAAACAAAGACCATTAGAAGACCAAACACTACACATCCTCACTAATAAATTGGAATTAACTGAATGGCACACACGTGCACAAAGGAAAGTAAAAGTCATTGGCAATCAAGCAGGGGTGGGGCACCATACCTATCTAACAGGTATAATGAACAGTACTCAACTGATGGACACATTTATGGCCCCAACTCAAGACATGAATCAAAAACATCTATACCCTGTTAACATTTTTAAATTAAAAAAAAAACCCCAAAACAAGAAAAGATAAAAAACTTTGGTTCTAAAATTCTAGAAATGCACAATTACATATTTTTATGAATATTCATTCATAAAAATGATTTTATTTTATTTTGTTTGTTTTATTTTTGAGAAATAGTCTCACTCTCAGTACCATGGTGTTATAGCTCACAGCAGCCTCAAACACTTGGCTTAAGCAATCCTCTTGCCTAAGCTTCCCAAGTAGCTGGGACTGTAGACACCGCCACCGTGCCTGGCTCTGGTTCAGGCTGGTCTCAAACTCTTGAGCTCAAGCAATCCATCTGCCACAGCCTCCCACAGTGTTAGGATTATAGGTGCAAGCCACCACATGTGGCCTACAGTGATGGTTTTAATAGAGTTTCCAATGCAAAAAAAAAAAAAAAAAGAAGGACAATTTAAATGTACATCATGTACATCAACTGGGAACTGGTTAAGTGAAATAAAGTACATTCATTAAATAAAATTAAAATGATCTGTGAAAAATATATAATAACTGATGAGGATATAAGCAACAATATTGTTATTAAATGAGCACATATAAAGTATAATCTAATTTAAAATATATACATTTAAGGGATTAATGTTTATCTGATGGTGGTAAAATTCCTGTAAGATTGTGTTCCCACTTGTAATTTTGTAAATTACCATTTTGAATGTGCATTCCAATTTGATTAATTTAAAAAAGAACTATAAAAAGAAACCAAGCAATAAGTTTCTCAATCCCTACCTACACAACAAAGAAATCAGAATCATCATAGGAAAAGCAATCATATAAGAAAGATTTTAACATATAAGAATGTAAGATTTACCTTAATAGCGTAGTACTCTCTGACTTCAGGCCTGATAGAATCAAAGTCTCCACTGATGAATTCTGGCAAAAAGCTGAAAGAAATAGTTCCACATCAGTCAACTCGTTGGGTCTATTTATTTGTGAAAGTTTAGGACAGTGATTATAAGGAACACAGAGAAAACTTATATACTCAAAACAAAAAAAGAAATGAAATGTCACTTCATCTAGTCTTGGTTTCTGAAGGAATCCTCCCCACATCTACAAAGCAAACATCACCCTGATACCAAAACCAGGAAAGGACCTAACACAAGAGGAAAACTACAGACCAATATCAATAATGAATACTGATGCAAAAATATTCAGTAAAATCCTAGCAAACAGAAATATGGCTATACATTAACAAAACTATACATCCTGATCAGGTGGGCTTTATCCCAAGGCTGCAAGGTTGGTTCAATGTATTTAATACATAAATTTAGTGCACCACTTAAACAGAAGCAAAACAAAGACCTATGATCCTCTCAATACATGCAGAAAAGGCATTCAACAAAATTCAGCTGCCCTTTCTGAAAAGAACACTTATGAAAATAGGCATAGATGGTACATTTCTTAAACTGATTGAACCCATCTGCGACAAACCCACAGCCAATATCATACTCAATAGAGTAAAAATTAAAGAATTTTCAATTAGAACTGATACCAGACAAGGATGTCCACCACTGCCACTGCTATTCAACGTCGTGCTGGAAATTCTAGCCAATACAATCAGTCAAGAGGAGAATATCAAGGGTATTTGAATGGGGACAGAGGAGGTTAAACTCTTGCTCTTTGCTGATGATATGATCTTATACTTAGCCCCAGGGACTCAACCACAAGGCTCCAGGAAGTGATCAAGGAATACAGTAACGTCTCAGGACACAAAATCAATATCCACAAATCAGTAGCCTTCACATATGCCAATAACACTCAAGTTGAGAATCAAAGACACAGCACCCTTCACAGTAGCTTCAAAGAAACAAAACACCACTCAAGTTGAGAATCAAAGACACAGCACCCTTCACAGTAGCTTCAAAGAAACAAAACACCTGGGAATATACCTCACTGAAGACATGAAGGATCTCTACAAAGAGAAAGATGTAACCCTGAGGAAAGAAATAGCAGAAGATGTTAACAAATGGAAGAACATGCCATGCTCTTGGCTGGGAAGAATCAACACTGTTAAAATGTCTATACTACCCAAAGCAATCTATAGATTTAATGTAATCCCTATCAAAGCACCATCGTACTTTGAAGAACTTGAAAAAATAATGCTGCATTATTTTTTCTTGTATGGAACCAAAAAAAAAAAAAAAACCTGAATAGCCAGTGCAATTCTATGAAATAAAAACAAATTTACAGGTATCACATTGCCAGACTTCAGGTTATCCTGTGAGTTGACAGTGATCAAAACAGCATAATGTGATTGGGGCAAAACAACACAAATGAAACCCATTCCCTAACTTGTCACAATGTCAGTCAATATTTATCTTTCTAAACAAGTAGATAAAAATTAAAGAGGATTATTAGTTTAACAAATTCTCCATTCAGAAACCCTAACACAAACACGATCTCTGCACATTATCATCTACACATGTACAACTCTATACATTACTGTGTCTTTCCTCAAGTTCACAGCTGTCAACAGATTTGAACAGAGCAAGTGATCACGGAGATTTGTAATCTGTGCCAAGCCAAGAGTCAGTGAGAGACATTTTCCGAACATCTTAGGAACAGGATCTTTTTACATAGGTTTGAAATACTGTAAGTGTCATAGTTACTAAGTATAGGGAGGGATTCCCTAATGTGGTTGTTTCTAGTGATATTATAATCACCTTACTTCTCTTCCCTGCCATACTGTCTTTCACAACTCATTTTAGAAAGCTTATCTCCCTCTTTCTACGTAAGTCATCATTTATTATTATTATTTTTTTTTTTTCAGTTTTTGGCCAGGGCTGGGTTTGAACCCACCACTTCTGGCATATGGGGCTGGGCCTACTGGGCCTACTGGGCCTACTTCTTTGAGCCACAGACGCTGCCCCCATCATTTATTATTTTTGCATAAAGTATTCACATGATCTGGTAGAATTTCTTCCCTCTTAAAACACCTCTAACTGTGAAGAAATAAAACATCTCTGGATTTCTCAATATTCCCACAAACCCCCCTCGCCTCCAAACCTGGGAAATGTATATGAAGGAGTATTTCCTGTGGGAACATTCTATGCTTCATACCAGGAGAATTAGGACTATAATTATTTATCTAGCTCATCGCTTTGATTCAAAAAGAATACTAAAATTTACATCCTATCTTCTGAAGAGAGCCAACTATTACCTAACAAATGAGGTCTCTGGCTAAAGGGAGACTGCAGCATTATCTCCTTGGTTATTACATGTCAGAAAAGATGAAGCCTCAGAACACGGAGACAACTCGAGGTCATAAAATCTGAGACACTGTTAAAAAAAAAAATAGCCAAGACACAGGAGACTATCTGGTGGCTCCTGGAGAGATTTTACTGATATCCTGAGGGTAGGATTAGGGTCCATATCCATAAAATGTCCCTAGAGACCCTTTCAAACGGAGGAAAACACAGCTGCCACCTTCACAAGTAGAGGAAACAAACAAACAAAATCACACAGTGCCGTCCTCCAACTGTGGGTGTGCAAAACCAGCAGAGCACAACTGACCTGCTTCTCACGGCACCGGCCAAGGGGTAAAGCACTAAAGCAAAGTAGACTGATGCCACAGGAAATCTGACTCAGGGCACACTGTGCATTAGGATGGAAGCAATAGGGATGAATATGAAAAATGAAAACAATGCTAACGTCCTTTTGTACAAAATTTTTAAGGTTCTTACCTCAACTGGAAACATTACTTAGGTCAAACCTAATCTAACTCATCTGTGTTGAGCTAACTCTTCCTTGAGCTTCACATCTTCCTAGGACTAAATGGTAAGACAAAATTCTACCACAAAGGTCTGTACCAGATCAACTGCTTGGCCTGGATGAGACAGGCCCAACAATTGTTTCATTAACCAATTCATTCCACAAATATTCTCCAAACATCCACTAAAAGAGCAAAGCCTATTTCAGAAGACAGGAGCATTGGGAAGTAACTGGAAGTGCCTAGGTTTTAAAATCACCTTGCCTAGTTTCAGTATCTTCTTATATAAACGTTCTTCCTCAAAACTTCCCCACACACCTCACACACACATATATGACTTTTGATTTCACTATATACATATTTAGGTTAAGTACCTTATGCTCTACCCAACTGGGACCAAAAATAGACTATTAGTTTTTTTTTTCTTTATTTTTTTTCTATTATATAAATTCATTTATTTTCAAAGTTTCTTTAAGATGCTTCCACACACCCCTATACAAACACATACAAATTAATACTCATGTGGATCACAGAATATTAAGACTACTGATGCCACAGGAAATCTGACTCAGGGCACATTGTGCATTAGGATACAAGAGATAAAAGAGATTATCCCTCCAATATCCCCATTATTCTCTCTGAGAAAATAAGATCATGAGCTCCAAGATATCAAGTGGATTTTGTCTGCATGGCCAGTATCCAATCTATCATACTTCCCATGTAAAGCAACCATGTAAAAACAGAACTCTGGGTCTCTGCTATTCGGCTGAAGCAACTTCCTAATGAGATTAACTTCATATTACTGTCTAACTTCTAGTCCCTCGGATATCTAGAACCAATTTGGTAGTTTCCAAATAGCATATTGATTTTGACGATGCATAAAAATGAAAAATAAAAGCCCATAACACAGGCAACTGAAAATCTGCCCCTTAGGACAGATCATCTTAAAGAGAATTACATCTCCTTTCATCTTACACTGTAAATAATGAACAAAATCAGGTAAATTCACTCATACTGTTACATAAAATATTAACAGGAGAACAAGTTTATATAGATAAAAGATACCTTGTGTCAGTTAACTTTTAATGTAATTTTCTCCAATGTAACATATATGCTTTCCAATTAAACCAGGATGCCTATTTCTAAGAAGACCCAGGCCAAAAATACACCTGGTATTCATGCTGAGATGACTGAAATAATTACAACTCTTCCTCATGTGATACGCTAGCTTTTGAAACTTCCTGAAATGTACTTTTTGACGCCGCAATTAAAAGCCCATCTCACTTTTCCTGAGGCGCCCGTTGCCATGGCGCCTGGGCATTCTGAAGAGGCACTTATTGGGGATGACACTTCACAGACGTAGAGGAGCAATGCTATGATATCAATGACAGTTCACACAAGCAGAGTATTTTCAGAACTCTCTGGGGACTGATGACACATTCAACTGACTACAGGCATATGGACTTGTGCAGCTTCTGATCACGTTTCTGCCCCCCGTGGACTTGCATACACCTATCTGCCTCTGCTTGATATCTTCAATCTAGGCCACTGACCTGTTGGTACTAAAAGGTGTCTCGACTCTCCACCAATAGCCTACCCAGACTCCTTTGCTGTACTCATTTTACAAAATAAGAGCCCAAATGGGGCTGATAAATTAATGAGCATTGAGATCCAACATGCACTAACGGAGGAGGAGGATAAGACATTTAGAGACTATGACTAAAAACAATGCAGGAAGACCCCCGCTGCCTTGGATAAGACCCTCCTGAGACCAGAGAAGGGAGAATCTCTCTCCCCTCAGCCATTTTTGCCTCTGAGAAAGATACTATCAGTCCCTTAAAACTTCAATAGCACTGAATCTCATACTTTCCATTTTGTTTGAGGCAATTTCAGTATATGGCTTCTAACTTCTACGGAAAGGTAAGTTTTTTGAAGCAAGATCTATCTCTGATTGACCTTGGTATTCCACAAAGTGCCACGAACACTGATGCTGATCATGATATAAATAAAATGAAGAAAGAGAGGAAGAGGAGAAGGAAGAAAGAAAAGAGAATGAACAGGTGAGAAAAAGGAAAAGGAGGAAGGGGAAGAAAGGGGAGAGGCGGGGAGGAGGTGGCAGGAAAAGGTGGGAACATGGTACAAAGAGAAAAGGCAGAGAGGAAGGAAGAGAAAGTG